CCGCCCAGATGCTGAGAGCCCAGCATCCCTGCATGAGCCTGGCCCATTCCGTCTCCCCGTCTCCAGTGGGTGCTCTGGCTCCCTGGTGGCCGGCGAGGGAAGGGTTGGAGGTGGCTTCTCTCACCCCGGGGCGCGTTGCACAGAGGGAAACGGCCTGTCCAAAGCCCCAGCAAGAGAGAACTCGCAACTCCTGCCTCACGAGACCTCCTTGCCACTTGAATTCTGTGCTGCCTTTTGCCCTCTTCCCAGTTCGGATGCAGCTGCAGGAGCTCTGCAGACCGCTGGGGGATGGGGAGGGGCTGCCGTCTGTGTCCATCAGCCTTGGGGATGCGCGCTCCTGCGTGTGACAGGTGCGGCCGCCTGTCTGCATCTCATGCGTGGCCAGCTGCCCGCAGGGTCAGGGGAGTCTTGGCCCTCTTGTCCTGGGTGGCCCTGCCCTGCCAGCCAGCCTCCCGCCCTGATGCCCTTCCTCCCGCCTGCGCTTCCAGATGTGGACGAGTGCAGTATGAACAACGGGAGCTGTGACCAGGGCTGCGTCAACACCAAGGGCAGCTACGAATGCATCTGCCCCCCGGGGAGGCGGCTCCACTGGAACCGGAAGGACTGTGTGGGTGAGTGCCCTGGGGTGGGCCGTCGCTGGGACCCCTTAAGAAGGGCCTGGGTGCTGGCCTCCCCGCTCCCACCAGGTGCCCGGATGGGAAGGGCAGTGACCTCTCAGGGAGGGGTGAGCGTGGGGTGAGCATCGCAGGGAGAGGCGATCTTGGCAGGGAATCTCTGCTGCTGAGAGGGGCTAACGGGAAGGAGGGCTTGCCGAAGAAGAGGGGACATCGGTGGGAGAGCACTCTGGGTGTCCTCCAGAGGCACAGAAATGGACCTGCAGGGGGAGGGGGGACACAGAGGTGAGGATCTGAGGGTCAGTGTGGCCAGAGCTATGGGCTTAGGAGGAGCTGGAAGCTCAGAGGGCACAGAGGCCTCGGCTCCCCCGTCTGCCCCTGGTCCTGCCCTGGAACCTGGGGGAGGAAAGGAGGTGGCTGCTCGGACTGCTGTGGCATCAAGGTCTAGAGCAGAGCCCCTGGGTCTCCACAGCCCCACCACCTGCCCAGGCCACCGGCCCCACAAGATCCAGAAGGGGAAGAGGAGGGGAGCTCCCAGTGAGCCCAGGGTTCCTGTGTCCTCTGCTGTAGGCTCCGGAGAACTTGGTGTAGCTCCAGGCCAAGTTCTGGACAGCCCCCACATTCCCTGGTTCTACAAACACATGGTCACCCACTGCATGCTGGGCCTGCTATGGATGCTGTGATCACGGCCCTGAAATGGCTCTTAGATCCTTGCCCTGCCATGCCCTAACATCCCCAGGGCAGCCAGAGCCAGCCTTCAATTTTATTTTTTAAACTTTTTTTCCTCCATGCCCAGCATGGAGCCCAACACAGGGCTTAAACTCACGCCCCTGAGATCCAGACCTGAGCTGAGATCAGGAGTCAGACATTTAACGGACTGAGTCACCCAGGCACCCCCAAGAGCTGAATCTGACTCAGAATGTGTGTCTCTCTGCTCAGAGCCTTCCATGACTCCTCTTCGTGTGGAAGCAAAGCCAGAGTTCTTAGAATGGCCCAAAGGCTGCTAGACCCTGGCCTGATGGCCTTCTCCCTCTCCCTCACCCGCCCGCCCGCCCATCTCGGTGCCCTTGAGGCTGCTGCCCACCCCCAACGGATATGGCCACGCCGGTGCTCCCCTCTTGGCCTGGAGGGCTCCTCACCCCTGTCGCTGTCTGCTCTGGGAGGCCTTCCCTGCACCCCACCCAGCATGCCCTGCCTCCTCATTTTCTTTTCTCCCGTAGTACTTCAGGCGGCTAGACAGGGCATATGCCTGCTCTCCACAGTGGAGCGGAGACTTTTGCCGGTCTCATTCACTGCTGTATCCCCAGCACCTAGGACAGAGCCTGGCGAGTGTAGGCACCCAGTAAATGCTTGAGAAATGAATGAGTGGAAGTATCGAAGAATGGATCCCATCACTTAGCATCTGATATAAAATTTATGCTGAAAGTATTGCTTACTTCAGTAAGGACTGCTGGGCTGCTCAGGCAGTCCTGGTCAGCAAAGCCCACCACTGGTCTCGTCCTGAGTTGCAGGAAGGAGCCTGTCCATGATGGAGAGGCAGCTTTAAGTGGGGCGCGTCCCAGGAGCGTGGCTAATGCTGGGTACTAAGGCTGAATGGGTTGACCCGTCTTAGGAGCCTGCACTGAGTGAATCTGCCATCTATTAGCTGACTTTCCGAGCCTGGAAAGTCATGGATGGATTGGCTTTCAGAAGCGTGTCTGCCGATCAATGAGGTTGTGCTGGGTCTCGTGTAGACTTGTTACCAAAGCTGTCGGACCAGCAGGCTTTCTCTGGGCATATGGGGAAGGGGTGCTTTTGTCCTCAGCACCTTATCGGTCATCCCTCCCTCGTCAGAGCTTCAGGAGCGGCCACTAGGCCTTGTCTGGGTCACTGACCCTGCACTAAGAGTCTGATTGTTGGTCACTGTCAGTCAGTGTGATTTTATCCCGTTTCTCCTAAGTCATCTGCTAGGACCTTGGTGACTACATAGAGCAGTTAACATTCTGGGTACTAGATGTGGGAAGACTGAGACAGACAGGATGACTTAGAGCATTCTTAGAAGGTTCTGGAAGGGGGCGCCTGGGTGGCTCAGTGGGTTAAGCCTCTGCCTTCAGCTCAGTCATGATCCCAGGGTCCTGGGATCGAGCCCCACGTCGGGCTCTCTGCTCGGTGGGGAGCCTGCTTCCTCCTCTCTCTCTGCCTGCCTTTCTGCCTATTTGTGATCTTTGTCTGTCAAATAAATAAATAAAATCTTTAAAAAAAAAAAAAAAAAAAGGTTCTGAAAGGCCCTCCAGACCCAGGACCCAAGAGTTCCCAGGGCTGACCAAGAAAACTGTTTCCACCAACTCCCTCAGTCTGCCATCAGCGTGTGGGTTGCTTTCCCTTGTAACCTCGATGTGGATTGTCTCCCCTCACCTCTGCTGTGAATCCAGGCCCAAAGGGAAGGGCTGGCAGTGACGACCCCCCTGATTGGTCAGAAGAAAATCCAAGGTCTCACTTTTCCCCTGAGCACTTGTCCTAGGAAGTCCGCCTGGTCCAGGATGTCTCCCATCCCACACCATAGGCTGTCTTATAGCACACACAGCAAGGGACATGATCGCTGGAGCTGCCCCATTCCTAGGGGTGGGACCAACAGCCTCCACGATCTGCTCATACGCGTCCCTCAGAAGGGAATTCTGTCCTCAGATCGTTTGCAAGAAGGCCTCGTTCACTGAGGGGTTGGGGAAGCCATGCACCTAGAACAGACTAGTAGCCCCCCAGAACTGTCAGCTGTGGTCCCAGGGGACTTTGACGAGCCAGATCCCATGTAACACATGGGATCTACCCCAGTGGAGCTGTAGGGATTTTGTCTGTGGTGTCGTTGTGAGAACCAGCCCACTACGCTGCAAGATAACCGAATCTGCCTCCCCCAGCCCATGGGCATTCTTCATTCCTGTGTTTGTCCACAGCCAGTGTCGTGTTAATAAGGTTTGTGTGACGTTTATACCGCTGTTCAATATCCATTTCCCTAGCAATACATGGGAGGACTGATTTAAAGAATTCAAATGGTGAGTCTCACTAGCAAGGCCCAGATCCAGGCCAGTTATTGGAGAGGGAAGCATAATGGAGCCAATCAGTGGTGCGTGACCTTAAACACATAAGGTGGGAGAGCATGAGCCCAAGAACTGAGAACAGGGGTCTGCCAGGGAGCGCGTGGAAGTCAGTAGTTGCAAACATCAGGGAGAATTATTCCAGTGGCCTTGTGTGAGAGTGGTCCCAGTGTATCACCTTCTGCCCGTCCTGAGAATCTTGGGAAATGGTTGGTTGGGTGCGCTGTCCGCTTCTGGGGTTCTGTCGAGGACGGCAGTCAACGGTCTGTAAGTTGTGACTTCCTAGTAAGTTCTGAAAAATCCACTTCTGTGTTCCCAAGGGATATGGGTAGAAGGACAGTGGAACTTCTGAGTGATCTGTGAGTAGCCCTCCCAGTGAAAGGTGCTGCATGTGACTAAGTAAGTCGAGCCATCCCAGAAAAGGGACGCAAGACCTAGTAGTAGTTTAGCTCCTATACGCGCGGCATTTTTCCCAAGTGACTGCTTCGATTCATCCAGAAAGTAAATGTGCTATTATGAGTGCACAATTTATCACCCATAAAATCCATCTGGAGGGGCGCCTGGGTGGCTCAGTGGTTAAAGCCTCTGCCTTCGGCTCAGGTCATGATCTCAGGATCCTGGGATCGAGCCCGCATCGGGCTCCCTGCTCAGTGGGAAGTCTGCTTCCCCCTCTCTCTCTCTCTCTCTGCCTGCTTCTCTGTGTACTTATGATCTCTGTCTGTCAAATAAATAAATAAAATCTTTAAAAAAAAGAAATCCATCTGGAGATACCCAGAGGGTCCCTTAGGGCTTGTTCTCGTCTTCACACGGCACCCAGGGTTCTGCCGACTACAGGTGAGCCTTGAACCGCTCACCTCCTCCGCTGGCCCGGGAGAGTCTCACCCCATCGTCTGACACCACAGCCAGCTTGTCCCCCACCCCCGGGATGAGTGGTCTTGAAGGAAACATTCGCACACACCCACGTGAGGTGGTCTGGTGGGTCCAGGGGGCCATCCTGGCTTCACTGGGATACCATCCTTAAGGGGCTTGCACCGAGACTTCTCCCCTTGGCTCTTCCTCAGAGTGGGAAGGCAAACGCAGTGTGTCTGCGGCGGAATCCGCATGCCTCTTCCATGGGTCCGTGTCTCTGTGCTGTCTGTCGGAAGTCCTTGCCTAGGGATCACGGTCAGCACAGCCCACGCGGCGTGATGATCCGGGAAACAGGGCCTCTGACTTCCGTCCCTCGTGCTGTGGCCTCTGAGCCGCAGTTACGGACAGTAAACCTCCGTTTGCGTACCACCACGAAGCTGAACGCTGCAGTGGTCGGTACACAGAGCTACCCTTGATCCTAAGCAACGGAGCGTGCCCTAGAGATGGTCAGAGGTTCGGCCAGTTAGGGGGGCTTGATTCCAGCCTGGACAGTTCTTGTAAATCCAACCAAGTGTTGTCTTGCCTCCTTTTGTTTTTCGTTTTTAGTAGTGGCTTCACTGAGCTGTAATTCCCATGTCCTACACCTACCCCCTCGTGAGCAGTTCAGTGGTGTTTCATATAATCCCAGAACTGTGCAACCACAATGAATTTCAGAGCATTTTCGTTACTCCAGAAAGAAACCCTAAGCCCATAGCAGTCACTCCTCGTTTTCCCTCTACCCCCAGCCTTAGGCAACCATCATCTACTTCGTCTCCATGGATTTCCCTGTTCTGGACGCTTGGCGTAAGTGGACTCCTACAACATGGGGCCTTATTATTCCATTTAGTGTTGTATTTTCAAGGTTCCCCCATGTCAGAGTGCATGTCACTGCTTCATTCCTCTTGACAGCCAAATGATAGCCCACTGTCTGCTTACACCACATCTTGGTTGTCTGCTCATCGGTTGATGGATGTGTGGGTTTCCAGCTTGGGGCACATCATAAGAACAATGCTATGAATGGTCCCATTAGGTGCCTTTTGCTCAGGTGTGTGCCAGGTGCAGTTGCTGGGTCGTGCACTTATGCTGGCTTTCACTTTTGAGGAACAGTCTGCTTTTCCAAAGAGCCTGTGCCCTTTGATGTCCCGCCAGCCATGTGGGATTTCTCCACGTCCTCGCCCACCCTTGCTGTTTTCTGACTTTTGGATTACAGCCATCGTGGGGGGTGTGAAATGGGTTCTCATGGTGGTTTGGGTTTGTATTTCCCTGATGGCCAGTGGTGTTGAGTACCTTCCCCTGTGCTTGTTGAGTATTTGTAGATCTTCTTTCAGGAAATGTCTATTCAGATCTTTTGCCCGTTTTTTAATTGTGTTACCTGTTTTTATTATTCAGTTATAAAAGTTCTTAAAGTTCTTCATATACTCTAGACACAAGTTTCTTATTGGATATATGATTTCCAAGGGATTTCCCCCATTCTATGAGCTGTTTTTTCATTTTCTTGATGGTGTCTTTTGAAGCCTAAAGGTTTTTAATTCTCATAAAGTCCAATTTACCAATCTTTTTTGTTTGGCTGCTTGTGGTTTGGGTGTCATTTTTAAGAAACCACTGCCTAGGGACTCCTGGGTTGCTCAGTGGGTTAAAGCCTCTGCCTTCAGCTCAGGTCATGGTCTCAGGGTCCTGGGATCGAGCCCCACGTCGGGCTCTCTGCTCAGCGGGGAGCCTGCTTCCCTTCCTCTCTCTCTGCCTGCCTCTCTGCCTACTTGTGATCTTTGTCTGTCAAATAAATAAATAAAATCTTTAAAAGAAAGAAAGAAAGAAAGAAACCACTGCCTAATCCAGGGTCGCAAAGATTTACAGCTGTTTTCTTCTGAGAACTTTGTAAGAGTTTTAGGTCTGATACTTGGGGAGACTTACACTTTAGCTCTTGTACTTTGGATCCGTTGCAAATTAATTTGTATATGGTGTGAGACAGGGATCCACCTTCATTGTTTTGCCTGTGGGAAGCCAGTTGTCACAGTGTTATTTGTTGAAAACACCATTTTTTTTTCCCCGTTGAATTATCCTGCCATCCTCTTGAAATCCATCGGCCGTAAATATGTGGGTTTATTTCTGGGCTCTCTTTTCCTTTGATCCATTTGTCCTGATGCCTGTATCCCACTGTCTTGATTGACGTAGCTTTACAGTGAGTATTTCAGTCACGAAGTGAGAGTCTTCCAGCGTAGTTTTTTGTGTTCAGGATTGATCTGGCTATTCTTGGACTTACCTTGAGTTTCCACATGAATTTTTAAGTCTCTTCATTTTTAAGATACATGCCATCAATCAACAATTGAGTTAGGGCTTGGTGTGGAATGTCCAAAAGATCTGTTTTGGATACGAGCACGTCTGAAGTACAGACACAGAGAGATGAGTTTCTCCATCAGGAAGGGTAGGAGTTGCCCGGCGGTAATGTGAGAAGGATAAAGGAACCAGTTACCATAATTAGTTCAGTGACAAGCAGAAAAAATGCTGGGTGTTCTCAGTTCACAGTGGGGATCATTCTGCACATGGTACCCTCGGATTAAAGGTGATTCTAGGACAAGATCTGAAGATTCTCCAACTACTCTAGCCAAGGCCTTGCCCTGAGGCAGGGCGGGGACGAGCCTTGGTCGTGGATGTTCGCCGTGTTGTTGAGCTTGTATCCTGAGAGCATGACCTAACTTTGGCGGGTTCGTACCAAAAAAAAAAAAATAGTTATGACAGTCTGGACTCTTCTGGAGCCCTGCTCCATTTGTTCTGCCGATGCTGTGGAAACTTTGCCCCAGGGATCCTGTTTTGAATCATGCGTGATATGCATATGAAGACTCCTACCCACTAGAAATTGAATCATGTGTAGGACAATTTTCTAGGACTTCTAGAAATAACCTCACAGGTCTATTTCAGGTGTATTTATTTGGAGTCGTATTTTAGCTGGTGGGTCCGTTTGCAGAGGAAATCCTGCCACACGACATGGGTAGGGGCTTTGACCCACGGAAGGGAGGGCTGTCTTCTTGTAACAGCTCCCAAGGAGCAGTTACATGTTGGAACTTGGGGAAGAACCAAGGTTTGTCAAGAGCGTCCCTGCCTCAGTTGTTTTAGTAAACCAGAGCCAATCAAGGTCATGGTCCCCAGCCTTCTGCCATTCCCTGTCTGCTTTCAGAGCTGCTTCTTCTATCTCCATTCATGTTCTCCCACAACCAGGCATTTTTACTTTAAGGCAAATGATTTTTTTTTTTTTTTTTTTTTTTTTTTTTTTTGCTTATCGTCTGTCAGTTTGCCTTCCCTCTTGCTTGTTAGGTGACTTTAAACTTTTCTCTGGGCTTTGGTATTTGGCGGTGATGGGATCAGTGAGTACATACGGTGGGGTCAGAGATGTCGCCTACATGCAGCTCGTCAGCTGGCCTGCTGCTGTTTCCCAGGTGCTTGGGACATCCTGGAACCCGGGGCCAGAGACAAAGGATGTCAGTATTCAGCACAGTGATCAGGGTAGAGAGCACATTTGTGTGGGTCCCCCTGCCCCACCCCCGAGTCCCATGTGCCCCCTCGATGCCATACAAGCAGAGAAATTACATCACAGCCGAGGGCCACCCAGCCTGGGAAACTCACCACTTCTATGGTGAACAGAGCCAGTGGGCTCCTTATCTAGGAGGAGATGTTCCTCATCCCTCGAAGCTTTTCAAGGCAAACACAACCCTGAGAAATGGTCTGGGGCCAGAGCTATCAGCGCTTTGTGTCCTCAAGGTCCCAGTGAGAGCACCCAGCAAGAGCACCCAGGATGCTCAGGGCTGGGCTGGTTTGGCTCCCCCCATGAGTGGCCCCCCTGGCACCACAAAGCAGAGCCGCAGCTCTCACTAACAGTTCCCTTTAGGAATCTGGAGAAAGTTCAGGGAAGGTCCTAGGGGCTTAGGTCTCCCTTGGAAGTTTATAGATGTTTCTCCTGCTTCCCAACCAGCGGGAACATTGGTTCTTCCTGGGGCTCTTGTGTCTTGCATTATCCGTCGGTGGTTTTACTTGAAACTTCCTGATTCTTTGGGAGCAGAGGACTCTCGGCCTTGTATCTACTTGGGGGCCAGCTGTTCTGTCTGGAGGGCTGCGAGTTTGTTTTCATTTCTAGATTGTTAACTTTCTAAGATTCCTTGAAGATGTCAAGCCACATGTTGAAAATCACCCACACTGACAATTTCCCACTTCGCTTTGTTTTTCTGGCTGAGTCACCTGCTTCAGCCTCTCCCGAAAGCGACGTGACCATTGACGACAGCCTCCGGGGGATGCTTCCAGGGGCATGCCTCCCTGACCAGCCAGATGGGGATGAAATCAGTTCCGAGTTTACCGCGGCTATAGACCTGTCAGTCCTCAAAAGAGTCAAAAACACCTGAGAAGGGCGCCTGGGTGGCTCAGTCGGTTAAGCGTCTGCCTTCGGCTCAGGTCATGATCCCACGGTCCTGGGATCGAGCCCCGAGTCGGGCTCCCTGCTCAGTGGGGAGTCTGCATCTCCCTCTGCCTGCCAAATAATAAAATATTTTTATAAATAAGTAAATAAATAAAAAACACCTATGAAACTCTGAAGAGCTTAGTTTGGGACCTCTCCAGACACGTAATGGCTGTGTCCAGTGGCTGCCCTGAGGAGGGGCTCCCAGTGACCCTCACATACTCAGAGCTTGGTCACTGCCAAGAACCCCATGTCATTTCCACCTGCTCCCTTACCCAGAGGGGCATGGCCCTGCTCTGGAGAATCCAGCCCTGCCCTCTGGTCTGGGCCTGTGGCACGAGCTTTCTCACAGACAGCCTGGACTGGTCAGAGGGAGGAGGGAGCAAGCCAGCTTTCTGGGCCCGGCATCCCCACACACGCAGGTACATGTGGACCCCGCCATCTCCTAGCCCCTTCCCCCCCAGGATCTGGTCACAAGGTGGGGATGTGGCAGGAGTCCCCCGTGGTCCACACTCAGGGGCAGGGCTTCTAGAAGCCTCCACCCTGGCCCCCTCCAGCCCTCTCTTATGTCTTTCCCCTCCTCAGAGACGGGCAAATGCCTTTCTCGCGCCAAAGCCTCCCCCTGGCCCCAGCTGTCCTGCAGCAAGGTGGGTGGTGTGGAGAGCTGCTCCCTTTCCTGCCCAGCCCACTCACTCTTCATGCCAGGTAACCTGAGGCCGAGCCCGGGAAGGGATGAGGGATTGGGGTGCGGGGGGGCCTTCCTTCCCTGGGGTCCACCCCCTGCTCCCTGCCATTCTCCAGGAAGGAGCCCAACCTAGGAATGAGGCCCCCCGGCCCTGATCACTGAGAGACCCTGGCCCGCTGTCCAGTTCCCTGTGGACCCCAGCGGTCCTCTCCACAAGTGCGGGGGCCTCGTTCCCTCCCGCAGTGACCCATCTGAGGCTTCCAGGATCTGAGGTCTCCATCTCTCCCCCGGCCTCTCTGCAGACTCGGAGAACAGCTACAGCCTGAGCTGCGGCGTCCCGGGTGTCCAGGGCAAGACGCCGCCAAAGCGCAACGACACCAGCTCCGGCATGGGGCACAGTTGCTCAGGTAGCCCCGCCTGTCCGCGCCGGTGGCGCCCACTGCACCCCGGACCTTGCAGCCCACCCCCGAGCGGGATGGTGGGGAGGGACGCTGCCTAGGGAAGAGCTTCCTGGCCTGGGGCCGGCCCGGCATGGCCCGGGGTGCTGGTGAGCTGAGAGCAGGCCCGGGACCCCTGGGCCACGCTCCGGGCTGCAGTGACTCTGACATGCTAGGCCTCCTCGGGTCTCCGGCTCTGTTCCAGTGAGGCGAGTTGCCTCCACTGTGACCCTGAGGGCCCAGAAGACCTGTGCCCTTCGGGCCCCAGCAGCCGGGTCCTGGTCCACACAGCGCCAGCTCCCCAGCCTGCGGCCGCGTCTTTAACAGCTTTACCTATTCTGGAAACTGAATTCGATGTCACGGGGGCGTCTGTGGGCGTGTAACGGGATGTGATGCTGAGATCCGCCCTCGTCGGGTTCTTTATCCAGGCCGCTGGGATTTGCTCTTGGAAGGAATCAGCAGTTCGGGGCGTTTGTCCTATTTCAAAGCCCCTTCCCTTCCTTGCTTCCCTCTCTCTTCTGTTCTGCCCCCTTGCCTAATAGCAGGAGCCACATGAACTGTCCAGGGCAATGGGGGAGGCGTTGGGAGGCCTGCCTTTCCTCCTCCTCAGAAGACCGCCGGCCGGGCGGCCCCCGCTTGAGTGTGGCTCCAGCATCCATGCTCCCACCTTTTTCAGGCCAGGCGGGGAGAGGAAAGAGGCAGCGGGGTTCCCCCAGCCCCCAGTGACTTGGTCCCACTAGCCGCCCCCTAGCGCTCAGGCACTTCCTCCGTGGCCCCCGGCCCCACCCCTCCCTGCCCACCGGAGAGGCTGCCACCTGGGGGGATTTGGGCTTTCCCCAGGTGCACCTGCCCCCATCAGGCAGAAGGCCCGCTTCAAGATCCGAGACGCCAAGTGCCACCTCCGACCCCACAGCAGGGAGCCAGCAAAGGAGGCCCTGAGGCAGTTGCTGCTGGGTGAGTGGGCTGCCTCGGCACCAGGCCACACCAGGGGTGGAGGGGTCCCCGCCCCTGAGAGCTGGGAGCCCAGGGTCCAGCGGGGCTGGGTTCCAAGGATGGGGACCTCGCTTCGTCCCCACAGTCATGGTCCCTAAGCCCCAGGAGCCAGGCCTGGAGCAGTGTAGATGGTGGTGGTGTCCCAGGGCAGCGTTTGAGTGGAAAACCTGGGTCCCCCAGCATTCCTGGGGCCCATGGTCCCTATCTCACCCGGGGTTAGATGAGCTCCCCAGGGCAGGTGTTGGTGTGCAGCCTAACTGTCCAGAAGGCCTCCCAGGCCTCACTTGGTAGCATATTCTTGGATGAGGGAGGCCAAGAAGGCGTTCCAGGCTTTCCAGGGGAAAGCTCGGAGAGAAGGGCCCAAGAGAAGAGCGTCCCAGCTGTTTCCATGAAGACTCCTAAACACCTTAGGATTAATTCCTCCCCAAAGCTAACAGAGCGCAGCCCTCAGGCAGACCCAACCTGGGCCCAGGCCCATGGAGCCGAGCTGCACAGTGTCGCTGAGCAAGTATGCACGAGGGCCTCTGTGGTCAGCGGTGTGAGGGGCTCAGACGGCTGGTGCAAGGCCTGGCTCAGCCACCAGCCCCTCACGAGACCTCGAGCCAGCCTGGCCTCTAGCCTCGGTTTCCCCTCCTGCACCACAGACTATTAGACAACGCAGAAGCCTCGCTGCTGGTGATCTGTGCGCAGGGCTCCAGAGGACCCTGCTTCCTGCCCTGTGCCACCTTTGCCATAGTGGTCCCTTCTTTGTCCAGAAAACTGCCACCTGACCTTTGTGACCCTCAAATGTGACTCCTCTAAGAAGAGGCGCCGTGGCAAAAAGTCCCCATCCAAGGAGGTGACCCACATCACAGCGGAGTTCGAGGTGGAGACGAAGATGGAAGAGGCGTCAGGTGCGTGAGGTTCTGGATGGCCTCGGGGAGGGCAGGGGCCAGGAGGGCCGGCAGGGTCTGCCCAGTGTGAAGCTGGTGACCACCTGAGCTGCGGCTACTGGAGGCAGAGGCCAGCCAGGCAGGGGAGGGAGGCACTGGGTCGCCCAGGATGGAATAGGAGTCCCAGGGCAATGAGAGGGACAGGGCTCAGGGGCCCGTGGTGACAGCTGCGCGGCCTCTCTCCACCCGGTCATACCCTCGCTGGGGCCTGGAAAGGTTCATGCCTGTAGTGTTTCTGGAACAATTGAGACAAGGGCCTATCTTTCCCAGGTTCCAGAAGGGGGCTTGTAGTGCTGGCTTGTGTTTCATATCGGTGCTTTCCTTTTGGCTGTAAATGAGAATTGAGTTGTGACAGAGGAGTTGAGATCTGAGATCTGTGCTATGTGTGCTGAGCCCTGGGCGCTGCGGAAAGAGGGAACCAGACAAGGGTCCTCGTGCTGGCAGCACTCCCAGCCACAGGGAGGCAGACCTACACACAAACCACCCAGTGCTAAGGGACACCCTGGGTGGTGGGGGGATGAGAGCAAACAGGACACGCAACTGAGCGGTCTCCCCAAGAGAGGGGCCCAGGAAGTCTTCCCAGAAGAGACACCATTTGAATCAGGACTTAAAGTTCACCAAGTGGAGGAGGTGGCAGGGAATGGCATTCAGACAGAGGGAATAGAATAGGGAAAGGCACAGAGGTCAGAGGGAATGGGATGTGCCCAGGAGGTGGTGAGCCAGACAGAGTGGCTAGAAAGTGGAGTTCACAGTGGGTGTCAGAGTGCTGGGGGTGAGGCCTAGCAAGGCGGGCAAGGGCTCCACTACAAGGAGCCTTGGAGTCAAGGCCAGAAAGCTGGGCATTATCCTGGGAACGGTGGAAGCCTCGAGGGTGTTGGGGGGCAGGAAGGAGCGCCGGTCCATGAGCTAGGTCCTGGGGCATTGCCGTGGCAGAGCCCCAGTTACTCCTCCGATCTGCGGTGTCGCCTTGAGCAGGTCACACCTCTAGGGCCCTCAGTCTCCTTCTCTGTCGGATGGACGCCACAGCGGTGCCTCGGCCCCCAGCTGCTGTGTGAACCATGCTGGGAGCAGAGGCCTGGCGGCAGGGTGGGGGAAGGTCAGGGAAGAGGCTGCTCCGGGGTTGCGAGTCACCGTCCCTCCTGCCCCTGCAGACACCTGCGAGGCGGACTGCATGCGGAAGCGAGCCGAGCAGAGCCTGCAGGCCGCCATCAAGACTCTGCGGAAGTCCATCAGCCGGCAGCACTTCTCCGTCCAGGTCGCAGGCACAGAGTACGCGATGGCCCAGTGGCCGGCCAAGGCCCTGGAGGGCCAGGGGGCGTGCGGCACAGGCCAGGTGTTACAGGACGGGAAATGCGGTGCGTCCCTGCCCGTGGCCACTGGGATGCCCACTCGGCAAGCCTTCTCTGCCCTTCCTCCCACGGGGGGCCCGGGGCAACGGACACACTAGGAGGGGACAGTGAGACAAAAGCTTGCCAGACAGAAGCAGTCCCATGCTCATCATCACACGGTCATTTGAAGAGCACTCGTCTGGTGCCATGCCCTGGGCAAGGCTCTTGCTGGGCTAACGTTTGCACGCAAAATCCTCGCCACAGTGCTGAGGACGGGCAGGACAGGGAGAACGTGGGCCAGCTCCGCTGCAGCAGGGGAGCAGAAGGGGCGCAGGGACCAGTCTCTGTGGCTAGAGAGGGCTTCCCAGCAGAGGCAGCGTGCGAGCTGAGGGCAGAGGCTGAGGGCCCCCGGGGTGAGCACAGGCTGCCAGGAAGCAGATGAGGCCGGGCCCACGGCAGGAGCTCAGGCGGGGCAGCCAGCCCGTGTCCAGGCCCGGGAGGCCGGGGACCGTTAAGAGGAGGGTTATCGAGAGATAGCCACGGTGGCTGCCTGCAGGAGAATGGACGGAGCCCTTGCTCTGCTGGGGTTCACATTTACCAGGGAAGGAAGGCAGCCAGCAGACAAGCATACACACACCCACACGCACATCCACCTCAGGGCCTTGCCGTAGGGCCATGGTGCTTCTCTGGTGCGGTGGAAGCCATGGGAAGTTTCCAATCAGAGGAACATTATTGCTCTCTCATCAGGGGAAGGCTTCCATGAGCAAGGACTGGGGAAGGGAGTCGGTAGAGCCTTGAACGGGGAGTGGGGGCTGGCAGCACGACAAGAAGGAACAAGACAAAGAGAGCACTTTGGAGGGGTGGCTGGGAGGAAGGAGGCTTCGAGGGCAGCCCCCAAGGGCCACGGTGCAGAAGTGACATCATACTCTGATCTGGGGAACCTGGGGAAGGCACGGCTGGAGGAGACAGTGTGTCTGTGCTCACTAGCTCATGCCCGTGAGTCATCCCTGTGAAGACATTGAATGGTTAGGATGGCTGCAGCCACAAACCTGGGGCACAAAGCATAGGCTGGGCCAGGAGATTAATTGGGGAGCTGCTGGAGAAGAGGTGGGATTTAGGGGTGTGGGGGGAAGGAGGGGCTCCGGCTGCAGCAGTGGAGAGAGCGTGGCAGGAGGGCAGGGCCTTTGTGATGTCATTTTTTTTTTAAGATTTTATCTTTTTATTTATTTGCGAGAGAGAGTGCACACCAGGGAAAGGGGCAGAGGGAGAGGGAGCAGCAGACTCCCTGCTGAGCAGGGAGCCCAAAGTGGAACTCGATCCCAGGAGAGATCATGACCAGAGCCAAAGGCAGATGTGCAAACAACTGAGCCACCCAGGCGCTCTGTTCTTATAAATTTATTTATTTATTTATTTATTTATTTATTTATTTATTTATTTATTTGACAGAGACAGAGTGAGAGAGGGAACACAAACAGGGGAGTGGGAGAGGGAGAAGCAGGCTTCCCACCAAGCAGGGAGCCTGATGCGGGGCTTGATCCCAGGACCCCAGGATCATGACCCAAGCTGAAGGCAGTGACGCCCCCTTCTTCTGTTTTTTATTTTGAAATCATTTCAAACATTCGGAAATACCGCCAGGCAGAACAAGAAACGTCCACGGTTTCTTCGTCCGGGTTCCCCTGTGCGCTGCCCCGAGCGCGTCCAGCCCACACAGCCCATTCCAATTCCCCCAGTCTTCCCCCAGCGTCCCTGTCCCACACGTTCAGTGTCCTTTCTCTCCAGATTCCTTCAGTGTGGAGCAGCCCTTGGCTGTTTCCCTGCGTTTCCTGTCCTCCTGCTGTAGGATGACCCTCATGGGGCTGCATCCCCCATTTCCATGACCCGCTGGGCAGGAAAACCCCACTCGATGCCTGCTCTTCAGCGCCCCCGTTAGGAGGCGCGGGTACTGACCCGGGCCCCCACAGGTCCTTCCCCCTCCCTTTTCCTTCTGCCACTGAGGCAGATTTTCTGGGGCTGGAATTCTGAGTCTATACAACAAACTGCTTCTCATCAGGCATCCTCCACCCAGCCACAGCCATCGCAGTCAGTGACAGCTCCCGCCAAAGCAGCCACGTCTCCGATGGTTGCTGGACGGTGTCCTCCATTCCGGCCGGCCCTAGTCCGGGTGCATTAGCGTTCTGTAAGGAAGAGCTTTCCCTCCCCCTCACTCACGGATGTATCCGAGCACCTACATGTCTGTGTATGTGTATCAGTGTGGGCTCCGCGACTCCTCTGTTCTTTACGGGGCTGTAATCCAAGCCTAGCGTTACTTAGTTCAGGGCTCAGATCATTCCCGGTGTAGCCAGTCAGGCCGGTTCCCCCGTCCTTTGGACATGCCCCCCACCTCCGTCACTTGCTGAGGATTCCAGGGCACAAACCTGTACTTCCCCTGCCCCAGCCTTCGCAATCAGTCAAGGACCCCAGAACGCCTAGAGGAGGAAAATATGCAGAAGCCAGAGCTGGGGTCCTCATTGCTAATGCAGCGTCCATCCTTCCAGGCTCTCACTGGACAGAACTAGCGAGTATGGGTGTATATTAAACATGGGCGTGTATATGGACTTGCACAGGCGTTATGGGTACGTGGGTGTGTGTGTGTGTGTGTGGGTGTGTGTGTGTGTTATAAAACCATGCATTCACACCAGTGCCTCCAGTCCAATAGCTCAGGTTTCTTTCTAACCTCCCCTCTTTCCATGTTTCTAAATTTCTTCTCCAGGAAACCTCCGGCTCCCTCCCTCCTTACTTTCTCCTCATTTTCCCAGTCAGTCTTAGCGTCGGTTTGATATATGCAGCTGACCACGCGGCCTCTGGACGACTCTCCACCACCAGGCCTCCCTGCCCCTGCCTCTGTCACTCTCCCCATGCCCTCTGCACACTGTCCCCACATGGCCACTCCTCCCCATGGGGAAGGAAGGGGGAGGGTAGGAGATCTTGGTTTGGACAAAACGCCCATGGGACGGCCAGGAAACTGTTGGGACACAGGCTGAGGGGTCAGGGCTGGAGGGCAGGACACAGAGCAGAGAGAGACCTCAGGGCTCAGCGGGAGCAGCGAGGACGGGGCCAGAGACCAGGGTCAGGCCTCCGGGCTCTTCACAGACGGCTGCTGCCTTCTTGCTCCTACCCTTAGCTCTTCTGAGATGGCCCTGGGCCCCTCTGGGATCTTTGAGCCAAAGGGACGAGGGATGTGGTGTATCTGGGAGGACAAGCCTGGGTTTGAAGGTACTGGGAGACAAAGCACCTGGCCACTGCTCCCCACGTCTGCCCCCCGGCAATCTCTCCACTTTGCCTCCGCAGTGGCCTGCGCACCTGGCACCTATTTCAGCGGAGAGCCTGGCCAATGTGTGCCATGCGCACCGGGGTCCTACCAGGACAGGGATGGCCAACTCAGCTGCATGCCATGCCCCAGCAGCGATGGGCTCGGCCTGGCTGGTGCCCGCAACGTTTCCGAGTGTGGAGGCAAGTGCGGGTCCCCCCTGGAGGGAGGAAGGGCTGGGGGTTGCGGTGGGGGGATTCGGCGGCAACTCCTGTCTCTACTGAGGTCCTCAAAGCCAAGGCCCAGTCCCTAGTGATATTCCATAAAGCTCTCGGCCATGTGCAGAGCCTGGCATGACTTCCAGGCTGCCACACTCACAGTGGCCACTGGGGCCGCAAAGCATCTGTGTGCCAGCAGGCCCCTGGCTGGGCCTAGTGCACCGGAGAACAGCAGCACGTGGTTTGGAAAGGACTTTACGGTTTATAAACACCTGGTCATTTTTGGGCCCACTTACTGTCTGTAACGAGGCACGTAGTGCCATATGGTTGACCAGACGTGTTACATGGTGTGGAGCCCCACACCATCCTCAATGTTCTCCATGTGAACTTTATAGTTTGTCCTATAGATTGTTTGGGAAGGCCTTTGGCAGCTTACCAAGCACAACTTGGTTTGCAAAGAGCTTTTCCATTTACAGCCTCACTTAACCACATCTGCGGTATGGCCTCACACCCCCACCCAACAGCCTGCCTTCCCCGGCCGTCATGGGGACCACCCAAGACAATGGGTGGGGAAAAGTGTGCCTGCAAGGGTGGGTGGGTGGGACAGTGGGGACCACCAGCCAGCTTTCTCTGGTGTACAGAAGGGATCAGAGACCAGCCCTGAGTCCCTGCAGGCTAGCTGGCTGTGCCCTCTGAGACTGTGGTCTCTGCCCTTAGCAGGGCCAGTGACTGAGAGCAGAGAGCGGCCACTGGTAGGAGCAGAGAATTCAGAGAATTCCAGGTCTGGGCCGAGAGGGCCTCCAGCCCACCCCTTACTCAATGCCAAAGCACCCTCTGCATCCCAACTTAATGCTGGGTGTGTTGTCCCCTCTCTGTCCCAGCCATGCCCTCAGGGACCTCCCAGACGCCCCCACCTCCCTGCCTGGCCCAGCCCTGCAGACTGGAACCCGGTTCCTCATGTGGAGGACACAGTGTGGCCCGCCCCCTGGGGGGCAGCTCCTCTGATCTCTCCCCTGCACAAGTGGGGTCCACACTTCCCAGCTGAGCAGCAAAGCCACCTGCTCTTGCTAGTGGGAGAGGTGAAGCCAGGCCTGGCCAAGGCCCCACAGTGCCTGAACCACGGGCAGCATCCGGACCGGGTGGGGGGCAGCCCACCTCTTTCCCCCAGGTCCCCCCGCCCCCGGCACCACCCATAGCCATGGTCCCCTTCCCCAGGGCAGGTGAGGGTTGAGAGCAGGGTCTGGACTGAGGCGCCTGGACCTCCCGCCAGCCTGAGCCATGACCCCTGACTTCCAGGCCAGTGCTCCCCAGGCTTCTTCTCCCCGGATGGCTTCCAGCCCTGCCAGCCCTGCCCGGTGGGCACGTACCAGCCTGAGCCCGGGCGCACGGGCTGCTTCCCCTGCGGAGGGGGGTTGCTCACCAAGCACGAGGGCGCAGTCTCCTTCCAAGACTGCGAGGCCAAAGGTGAGTCGCCCGGAGCTGTGCAGGGACGTTTTCCCTCAATACCACTCATCACCCACGTGGCCGATGTCCAAGGGCTGAGGGGTGGCCCGGAGCTGCCAGCAGTAGACATGGGACCAGCACCATGCCACACTGGGGACAGGGACCACACAAGCCCACCTGAGAGTCTCAGATGGGAGAGCCAGGCAGGCACAGTGGTTACAGATGGGAGCTTTGAACCTGACTCACAGGAAAGGCTCTTTTGGGGGGGAGCAGTTTGGGGGATGAAGAAATGCAGGGGCGGTGGGACAAGGTCGGACCATCTCACCTTCCCTGGAGACCCTCCTTTTAGGCCTGTGGGGGTCCTGCTGTCCAGCCGCACCTTCCCCTCCATGGTCACCAAATTCCCCTGATGGCACTGCCTCCCCTTCCACACACTCCCGTCCTGCCAAGGGCCTTTGGGACATACTTCCCACCCGCTGACCCTGATATTCTTGGGGACAGACAGAGAGAACCCTCCCTTCTAGAAGAGAAAACTCCACCTCTCCTCCAGTTCCTGCCAGGATTTCTCCTCCTTACTGTGAAACTTGTAGAAGGAGCACGTGGACTACACTTCCTCTCCCCTCTAGTCAGACTCTCACCCCACCGTCCCCCCGATCATTGCTCCCATCGAGGCTGGAGCCAAGTCCCTTCCCAGCTGGCATCTCCCACAGCCCTGCGGCCTCAGGCTCTGCTCAGCCTCACCCACCCACCCCTTGGCTGGTAGTGCTGGGGTCCCCAGCCTGGCACTGACTCTAGAGTCTGGATAGGAAGAGCATCCAGTGACCCCAGCCCCGCGTCTATCCTGAACTCAGTGCTACACCCTCCTGCTGGGGGACAGCCACGATCATATCCCACGTGGCCAGAGCCCCTCATTTTGGCCACACAGTGCCCCCCCACCCAGCTCACACCAGCTCTGTCCTACCAGGGGCCCAGGGAGACCTTGGAATCCCCCTAAGTGCTCTCCCTCTGACCTCACATCCAGTCTGTCCGTAGCCCCTGCCAGCAGCCCTCAGCCAGGCCACTGCTGCCCGGCCTCCCCACCCCACCCCTCACCCTCAAGCTCACTCCCAGAGCAGCAGCCTGGACCATGCGGTGGCTCCAGGTCCCCTTCTCCCTCAGAGCGAAGCCTAGCATGACCCCTGGACCCAGGAGCTCATGGCCATGGCCTGTGACTTCCGCTCTGGCCACGCCCACTCCCTCCCCAGATTGCCTCCCAGCTGACTCCACATGGCTCAAGCCTCCACACAAGGTCCCCACACCCCTTGAGCGGCGCACACCTGGCCTTACAACAGCTCATGTCCCATTTCTTGTCCCCGAACACATGCCCCCTGTGGTCAGGCCTCGGTCACAGAGCTCACTGCCCAGCTCCGGGCAGCCCCCAAGCTCCACACAGCCGTGGACAGGACCGAGCGTGGATGGTGGGCGGCCACTGGGTTGTAAAGAAGGGCTTTGAACTGGGCACCATGACAGACCTCGAGGGCAGGGAGGCGCTGGGGAGAATGTCCCCTGCCCTTTCCCATCTGCACCCCCCCCTGCCCACAGTGCACTGCTCCCCGGGCCACCACTACAACACCACCACCCACCGGTGCATCCGCTGCCCCGTGGGCACCTACCAGCCCGAGTTTGGCCAGAACCACTGCATCACCTGCCCGGGCAACACCAGCACGGACTTTGATGGCTCCACCAACGTCACACACTGCAAAAGTAGGTACAGCTCTCCCTGCGGCTGCTGGGGGGGACGCAGGGCGGGTGGGCTGTTGCGGGCGGGGCAAGCCCTCACCCCACACCGTGCCCACAGGACCCCAGGGACCCCGCCCAGCTCCAGCACACCCGCACATCCACTCAGGGTGACGCCCCCCCGCGCCTCTGTGCTCGGTGGGTCTGCCCAGGGCTGCGGGTCTGTGGAGGGGAAAGCCGGGCCCGTGGCAGGGGGCTGCGGTTCAGGGGCTGAGGACCAGGCCATGCCACTCTTGAAGGCACGTGCCAAGTGGACGCACACCAGCCCAGGGGACAGGAAGCAGACACGAAGCGTGGACGGGTGTGGAGGCGTGAGAGGAAGCCCAGCCGGCCTCCTTGTGTCTGTGAGGAGCTCAGTTCAGCTGAAAGAAATGGGGGCAGCATAAGACGCTGTGGGAAGTAGCTTCCCCGGCAAGTCATCTGGGCGTAACAGACTTGACTTTAGATATTTTTAATTCATTTTTTGGAGTCCTCTGGGACAGATTTTCTGGTGTTGTACCCTCCCCCAATCAATTTCTAGCCAGTTACCCCTTTCCCTGTGCTGCTGGTCGTGTCTGGGACAGCCCAAAGGCCCATGGTGGGGATTAAACCAGAGGGTCCCGCGGGGCTCGTGGCCTCTGGGGACAGAAGAGCAGGCACAGTGTGGGGCTCCACAGAGGTAGGGTTGAAACGTCCTCCTGAGTAAAAGTGGAGAAAGCAAATAGGGAAGCTTCTGGAAGGTGAGGTAAACATGAAAAGTTTCCCAGGAATTTTGATGGGGTTTCGTACACGAAAAGGCATGAGAAAATTGTGTACATTTAGTGTTCGGTTCAGTTATCTTTGCAGACCTAAGGTGACTTCTTTTGTAAGGTTGAGGCTGGGAACCTTTAGCTCACAGAGGTGCCGCGTTTGGCTTCTTGAGGGTTCCGAAGCTTAGCTACAAAGGGAGGCATGTCTCTTTGTCCTCACTGTGCTGCCTGCTTGTCCCCGAGCCTTCCCGCTCGGCGGGGAGGGCGACCACCCCAGGCCCCTGGCAGGCGCTCAGGGAGCATAGAGGGCATGGAGGGAGAGAGGAGGTGGGGGTTCACGAGTCGGGGGGTTCACCGAGCTTTCGCACCACCACCTGCAGGAGCAGGGCTGGCAGGGGAGCCGACACAGGGCGGGCCTGTCACAGGGTGCCCCCCCCGGGAAGACGACCCCATGGGAAGAGTGGCCCAGGGCCAGGCTAGCTGGTGGGGAGGCCAGTGGAGGCGGCCGCGGGGCTGTCGAGGGCCCGCCCTCCCCGACCCCCGTGCAGCAGGCCTGAGCAGGCCCGTGCGGCCCCGGTGCCCACAGACCAGCACTGTGGCGGCGAGCTCGGCGACTACACAGGCTACATCGAGTCCCCCAACTACCCCGGCGACTACCCGGCCAACGCCGAGTGCGTGTGGCACATCTCGCCGCCCCCCAAGCGCAGGATCCTCATCGTGGTCCCTGAGATCTTCCTACCCGTTGAGGACGAGTGCGGCGACGTCCTGGTCATGAGGAAGAGCGGTATGCACAGGTGGAGGGGAGCAGCGGAGGGGCCACCCAGGGTCACCCGTTGCGGGGGTTTCACAGCCACCTCTGACCCACCGTCTGCTCACAGGGCTGAGCTCTAGGAAGTCAGCTTCTCCCGCCTTCAGGGCACCTCAGGAAGGCTGCCCGGGGAGCAGTGAGGAGGTGGGACACCCTTTGGCCAGCCCCACACACCCCAGGGTCAGCAGGCTCACCTTTATTCATCTGCTCACAGGGAGAGGGGACTTCCCAGCTGTGACCCTCCGCCCCAGCCCTGGCTTGTGCTGGGTGTGGGCATGAGCCCTGTCTGGGGAGAGCAGCTGGCCAGAGAAAGACAGTGACAACCCGACAGAGAGGGGCAGTGACCAAGGGTTCACCAGGGCAGAGCAGGAATGTGGTAGTGTGAGGATGGAGCAGTCAGGGAGGCTTCCTGGAGGAGGAGGCATAGAAACCTGCTCTGTAGGATGAGAAGGAACTGGGGTTGAGGGGGGGGGACTGGCATTTGAGGCAGAGGTAACATGGATGGAGCCTAGAGCTGGACTGTTTGGGGGACTGGGCGTGGGAACTGAGTGGCTGACCTACTGGGGGAAGCACATGGCCTGCAGATGGAGGACGAGGGCCAGGGGCAGGGTTGTGGATCAACCAACCGCTCAGCCCCCCCACGCTGTCCCCAGCATCACCCGCGTCTATCACCACCTATGAGACCTGCCAGACCTATGAGAGGCCCATCGCCTTCACCTCCCGCTCCCGGAAGCTCTGGATCCAGTTCAAATCCAATGAAGGCAACAGCGGCAAAGGATTCCAAGTGCCCTATGTCACCTATGACGGTCAGTGTGGCTGCACTGTGTGCCCGGCCCAGGCTGGCCCTGCGGACACGGAGGCAACAGACACATACAGGGTGCGGGGTGGTGCGGGTGAAGGAGCCATTAGTGGTGTCTGTGGCCTTCAGCGTGCTGTACTGCCCAAGCTGGATATTGAGGGTTGAATAGAAGTTTATAGCTAGCCAAGCCTCAAGGAAAACAATTCGGGTGGAGGGTACAGAGGTTCAGAGGCAGAAGTGCCTGTGGCCAAGATCTGAGTCTGAATGTGGAGCAGGGGGAGGCGGAGGCAGAAGGTGAGGGGGAAGCAGGGGGGTTCTGGTGCCTTCACCTCCCTTCCTTCCTCGCCGGTGGGTTTCACAGAGGACTACCAGCAGTTGATAGAGGATATCGTTCGCGATGGACGGCTCTACGCCTCGGAGAATCACCAGGAAATTTTAAAAGTGAGTGAGCTTCTTTATGGGAAAGGGTCCGTGTGATCCCGGGATGGTGGCCTGTGATGATTCCGGGCCTCTGTCCTTGCAGACCAGGAGGCCCGAGACAGGATCCCTGGTGGCATCCAGCCCAGGACCTTCTGACTGGCCTTTGGGCTCCTTGACAGCTGCCGGCCTCACTTCCCTCATCTGTGAGATGCTGTGGGAGCTTAAAATCGGTAGAATCCGCTCCCACCTTTGGGACTGCCTGTCCCCTCATCTTGCTCGTGACCTTAAGAAGCAGAGCCACCTTGTCATCGAGGGGCTCTATGTCTGTCATATGGCAGGCACTGGCCAGCTCTGGGCCCTGACCCAGGGATTTGTTTGGGCTCTGGGGGTCTGGCCCCAGCTCAGCCTCTGGGGAGCTAACACTTCCAGCCTGGGAGCTGAGGTGGACGGGGCTGGAGCAGGTTTGGGTTCCCTGGCTGTCACGTCCCTGCTGGGTGGCCCTGGGCAAGCCCTCTGAGAAGCAGGGGCGGCTCACAGAGTGTGGGCTTCCAGCTCCGGATCCGGCATGGTCCTGCACGCAGTAGGCACTTTGTAAGCAGAGAGGTTCGCCCCGATGCTGCTGCACCCAGGAGCAGAGCTGGAGCCCATCTGTGCAGTGGGAACCGGAGGCCAGTGCTGGCCCCTCCATCGGTCCATCCGGCAGACGATGCCGGCTCTCCTCCTGGTCCCTCCCCTGCCGCCCTGGCCCTCTGCCCACGGCTCCACCCTGCCGCCAGGAGCATCTTTGCAGAACTAGAAGTGTTTCCGTCACTCAGGACAAAAACCTTGGCCCGGGGGGCCCGGCTGGGCATGGCCCCCACCTGCCTCTGAAGCCGTTCTCCGACCTCCACACTCCCCCCGCTCCCTGGCTGAGGCCTCTCTCCTCCGTGAGCATCCGCCTGTCCTGCTTTCAGCGTAGGCATCCCTCTCTGGGTGGATCACAGACTCTTAGAGTCCCACGAGGCTCTGGCTCTTGCACCTGCTGGTCCTGCCGTCAGCTGTGGTCTAGGATCATTTGGGCCCCCGCCTCCCTGGAGGCAGAGGAGGCGCAGGAGTTCCTGCCTGACCTGCCGTCCCCAGCATGGGCCCCGCGCCCAGCACACGGGGCGGGGGCGGGGGGTGTGTTTCTCAAGGGCGAGGGTGCGGGCGTGCGTGCATGCCCGTGACAGCTTTGAGTGTGCACCAGGACAGAGCAGACGCGGGACAGCAAATGTGCCCAAGGTCTCGCCTGACACTGGGACATGATGCAGACAGCCTCTGGCCGGTGCCGAAGCTGCACCCTCCCAGCACCCTGCCTTGAGCTCCACAGCAGGCCGGGCTCCCTCCCAGCTCTCAGGACGCAGCGTGTGCTCGCCTCTACAGGGGGGCTCGGCTTTCTGACCTCCATCTGTTGGCCTCTAAACCCTCTGCCCCGCTCCGTGTCCTCTGGTTTCAATGCGATGGTTTGTTTTCTTTGACTTTGCAGAACTCTTTTTAAATAAAATGCTATTAGGACATCAAGAGTTAAAACCAATAAACTATTTTTTTTTTTAAATCAAAAAATGGGGCACCTGGATGACCCCATCGGTGAAGGGTCCGACTCTTGGTTTCAGCTCAGGTCATGATCTCAAGGTCACGAGATCAAGCCACAGTGAGGCTGGGCTCTGTGCTCAGCGGGGAGTCTCTGCTCTTCCTCTCCCTCTGCCCCTCCCCCATCATGTGGGCTGTCTGTAAAATAAATGGATCTTTTTTAAAAAATCAAAAAACAGTTCATGGTGAAGAGAGTCCCTGGGGTCTGAAACCCACCCAGCAGCACAGTCTTTTCCTCTTCCCTCATCCTTGCAGACACCCCCAAGGCCCCACCAGGGCCCCAGACATCAAAGAGGCCTGCACCCCCGCCCCCGACTCAGCCTCACCACCCGCCTCACTGTGTCTTGCAGGACAAGAAACTCATCAAGGCCCTCTTCGATGTGTTGGCGCACCCCCAGAACTACTTCAAATACACAGCCCAGGAGTCCAAGGAGATGTTCCCGCGGTCCTTTATCAAGCTGCTGCGCTCCAAAGTCTCCCGGTTCCTGCGGCCCTACAAATAATGCCGCCAGCTGCCCTGCTCGGGGATGGCCGGGTATCCCGATGGGGAGGGGAGTGCGCCTTCCCTCCACAGGAGAGGCTAGAAGGCGGCTCTGCGGGCCTCCACGCTGCCCTGGGAAGTCACCACAGCGTCTGCCCTTCGGAAACACGGACCAGCCTGTGGGGGTGAGACCACATCCAGGCGGAGACCCTGGGCCGCTGCGCTCCTCAGGTCGCCCGGCTGGGAAAACACTGCTTTTGGCGGGCGGCTTTGCTCCCTCCCTCCCTCGGCCTGTTCCGTCCCCGGAGGGGGGGCACCCTCCCTGAGCGGCACTAGCGGACCCACCTGGGCCGGGACACTCTGTGCCGCCGCGCAGCCAGCTCCTGGGCAAGCTGCACGTTTGGGGGTCACATGTGGCCTTGCCTGGCGCCTCAGGAGAGAGGGGGACGCAACTGCCTCTGTCTGCAGGCAGGCTCTGGGAGGCATCATCTGCGACAGGAAGCCAGGCTGTGGGAGGAGGGGTGTGGGAGGGCGTCTGGGGAGCTTGGATGAGCCAGTGTCTGCACCGGCAAAGGCACCCACCCCTGTCCTCCAGCCGTGGGTCCAGGACGCAGGCGCCACGTGGCAGAGCTCTAAGGATTCTGTGATTGGACAGAGAAGAGCTGCTAGCGGAGGAAACTGTAGATTTGTGCTTTTCCTTGATAGAGCATCTAATTAAGTACTATATATATATATAAATATAAATATAATATACTTCTATCTGTGGGTACTTTAGGAAAATCCTCTTCAGTAACTGTAAATGCGAACTGCAGCCCCACGCCTTCCCTCCCGAGCTGCCCCCAGCCTCCCTGGGTTGAAGCCTCTCCAGGTGCTTGCCACCTGGTTCTGTGAGGCTGGAGAGCGCGCGCTGGTTCTGGACACGCTCTGGAACGCACGTTCTTTGGGAACTGGGCCCTGATGCTTTGCTGGAGTGTTGCCCTCTGACGGAATGTTGTAGAAGGCCATTTCCCCTTGGGCCCTTTCCTATGGGTACCGAGGCCCAGCAGGAAATCTCGAAAGGGACCTGTGCTGGCCCTGAGGCCATGACCTTGGGGTCTGTGCCATGGCCTCGTGCCACAGGGAAACAAGGCTGTCTCCACGTGAGCACAGGCTGTGCCACCGCAAGAGACCTCAGAGGGCAGCAGCCCACCCCTTTATCTTACCAGTGAGGAGAACGAGCGACGGAGGGCAGGCAGCCAGTGTTGGAGGCCTGGCCCCAGGAGCGCTGTCTGCTTTCTGCTGTGCCACGCTGGGGTTCCTCTGAGAGTCTGTCTTTAAAGAAGAGAAGGCCAGAGGCTGACCCCGTCGCATGGTGTCCCCCTCGGCCAGGAAGCCAGCACCGGGACACAGCCAGAAACGTCCCTGCCACTCTGAGTCCTCGCCTGCTGACCGACTGCTGGCGGCCGCCTGTGAGCCACGCGTGGGAAGCAGTCTGTATCTTTAGGGTAACAAATGTTCACAGTTGCAAAACACATGGGACAATCTTAAAATGAATCCCAGTCACCTGTCCCAGGTGCCTCTAGGCTGTCTCCTCCTCCTGCCTCCACACCCGTGCTGAGCAATGGGCTCGGTTTGAGACCCATCCATGGCACGCCACTGATGGTGAAGCTTGGGTCCAGGTGACCAGGGTCTGGGGGTCGATGACAAGGCAGGCCGTGGCGATGTCACAATACAAAACAGGGCTGGGGGCTCAAATCGTTCCTTGCTACCACCCACGTCAGCAACAGCGAGTCCCCAGTTTAATGAACGCTGCCACCAGCGCCTTCTCTGCCAAAATCCAACTCAGGTCTGGAAGGGGCCTGGTGGGCAGGTCAGTGTGAGCCCTGAGCTCTGTCCCGGCCCACACCACCCTCCCTGGTCACAGGCCTTGAAGGCCAGCCTCAGTCTCCAGAAAGACCCCTGTCTTCCCTCCGAGTCCTTGCTTATCCCCAGGAATTACGTGAGTGTCCTCCAGAACAGGCTTCCAATAACAACCACCCAGGAGAAGGGTTTTTTATAATGTTCTCAAAACATAGAGGACCAGAAGAGCTCTAACCTTTCTTGAACACTTCGTGCCGCCCCTCTGGGTGGTTTCGGACCGTCGCCACCCACAAACCCCACTAACCCACCGGCCCTTCCAGTGGGAGCCCCCCCATGATCCATGGCTCTCCCCGCCACTGTGGTCAGACCTGCCCGGTATTCCCCCAGCAGAGCAGAACAGATGTGGGACCCTTTGCCCTCACAAGTACCAGGGAGCCAGCGACCCCAACTTGCCGGCTGCCAACACATTCCCATCAGGGGCACTCAAAGGCCAGGAGTGGGGTATGTCCTTAATGTCAGCCCTCATCCCCACCCTGGGGAACCTGAGGGTCCCACCTGTTAAACCGGATCTGTCCCCGGTCATCGGAGCCTGGTGGCTTGGGGGGAGAGCTCCCTGGGCAACAAAGCACGTTTGTCCATGTTCCCGTGTTGCAGAAGCTGGTGGCAGGTTGGCACCGGTGGAGCAGGTGGAGGTAGAAAGGACGGGCCCCAGAGAGGACAGGTCCCCACAGTGAGTCCCGGGGAAGAACAGGACAGGACGAGGGTGCGGGAGGCCTGTGCTGCCCGAGGGAGGGGCTGACCAGAAGGAGCATGGCCTGCTCCTGGATGGGATGTTGGCCTCAAGCAGCCGCAGGCCCAGCCCAGCCACCACCGCCCCTCGCGTTACACGGACCCTCCGCGGCGGGCCAGTCGATCACTCCAAGGCAAAGAGCCAAGGATCAAGCTTCTGGAAGCAAAATCTTGCCCAGCTGGCCGGGACTGAAAGCTGCCAAGCCTGGAAGTCCTGAGGAGCTCAGCTCTGCGTCTCGTGGGGCAGCCGGGGAGGCTCTCCAAGGGTGGCGGTGGAAGACCGAGGTGCCCCTGCACCGTGTGCCGGGTGGCGGCGGGACCAGGAGTGGCGGACCCGGAAGAAGCCCTTCAGCCCCGCACCCCTGGCGTCTCCTGGCTCTCTGCTTCCATGGACACGTGCCAAGGAAAAGAAGAGAACTGGCCTCAAGGTCCAGTGGCCAGCTGGGCCCTCAGCGAGGGAACACTGGGGTCACCTCATCTGCCTCTCCGAATGAGGCTGCTTTTCCCCGGCGCTGCGCTTGCCTGAGCCTGCAGCTGTGGCAGTGTGCCGGCCGCTCTCCCACCCCGGGCTCTCCACTTAGTCTCAGACTCTGTGCCCCTCGCCCCGACAGGTGGCCTTGGCCAGTGGTGGTGACCGTGCTCTGCCCAGCTCTGGCTCCCCAGGGGCAGTCCTTGCCAGCCCGTCCTGGCAGACAGAATGGTGACAGACTCAAGGAGGCCGTGGGGCCCAAGGTGGCAGCCTCAGACAGCTTTCCCTCCTGCCATCCGTTGGTTTGGGACAGGCAGATGAAAGAGGACTGTAACCTGGGCCAAAAAGTCACCAGAGAGCAATGGCCCCAAGAGGCCGCTTCTGAGAGCCCAAAGACAGATCTTCTTTCCTTCAATCTCTTAAAACCTGTGTTTCCTACCTGAACCCCCATTCCCCTGGGGACACGGCCAAGATCACCCATTTTCCACGACAAGAGGCCCCAGCCTGCTGGACCTAAAGTGGGCACCTAAGTGACATTTGGGGGATGGGATAATTAGTTGAACACCTCCATCCACCACACTCAGGAGGAAAATAAAATACTGAGCTAAGTTAGGTCACTAAGCAAACATTTGCTGAGCGCTTACCGTGTGCCAGGCTCCTAGAAAGGAGAGAGGCCACAGCCATGGGGCTGGCAGAATCCTCTGGAAAGTTCCTCTTGGTCCCCGAGATAAAGATGATTGAGGCTGGCCCTGGACAGAGCCCAGTGCTCCTGTCCCAGTACCCTGGGTCAGGACGGCGAGTGTGGACAGAGGGCAGACGGAGCAGGGCTCACCAAAGGAGTCCCAAGGTCCATCTCCCAAGGGAGGAGCTGCTGCCCGCCCAGCCTCAGGATGTGGCCGCCGTCCTCCACCAGCAGAGACAGAGGCAGAGAAGAGCTCAGCCAGCTTGCCCAGGACAGCGGCCTCTACCCCCCCCCACACACACACAACAGGCCCCTCTCTTCACCACGGATCCACATGGGGGCCGCTCAGCCCTTCTGAACCGGGTGACAGCACCAAGCCAACTTCATTCTGGCCAAAGGCAGAAGGACCGACGTTTGAGAGACATTCCCAGTCCACACGTCAGAGCAGAGAGCTCGTATTCTCCCAGATGGCTGCCCCTGGAGGCGCGGTTCTGAGCACCTGCTGTATGCCGGACGCAGGTGCGGCAAGGAGGAGCTGCAGTGGGCAGCGTCCAGGCTGCCTGGCGGCTTGGCAAGGGCGGTGGGAGGGGGCAGGCCAGCCCCAGGCCCAGAGGCTGCAGGCATGGCCACGCCTTCCCTCCCAGCACCCTGCACAGGCAGCCCCCAAAAAGCAGGACCCTCTGTTTCTCTGAGGACCCCCAGCCACCGGATGGACCCTCTGAAACTGGGCCCCTCGAGTCTCAGCAGGAAGCAGTGAAAGCCTGAGTCCCCCAGTCACCAGGATGCGGGGGACCATCCTCAGGGCCCTGGGGGTGCGTGGGACCTGACGTTCCTCGGACGTGGACGGGGAGACTCTAGGAGGCCCGGTAACGTGCCCCAGGCGAGGAAGAGCTAGTAGTTGGTGGAACTGAGACTCAAACCCAAGCCCATCGAAACCCAAGGTAGGAGATGTCTGTCTGTGAGATATCAATGGACCAAATTGTATGGATTAGGAAACGCGCTGGGGAGTTCCGGGGCAGGGATGTGGCAGGTAGAGAGGAGGGAGGCGGAGGAGGCGTGGACATAGGACCTCCCCTCCCTGTGAAACAAGCACTAGAAACTCAGAGGAAGCCCGGCTTCTGCCTTCTCCGCTGCATGGACGGGATGGATGTGTCCTTTGAGACTCTGGCCCACAGGGCAAGGTAAGCCGCAGCCCGGCGCTACCCCCCTGCGCATCCCCGGACAGATGCTGCCTGTCCGCCGTCGGCCCCTCCTCCCAGCTCGGGCGCACAAATGTGAGACAATGTGCGTGTCCCTCAGCAGACCATGGACTGAAAAGTAGGGGCAAAAAGAAAGCTCGCTGATGCCCAGGACTTTGTTTCCCTGTTCAGAGGCTACGGAGATCCCCAGGAAAGGTCTAGCCCGCTGAGATTAGAACCTTGAACAGCCTGGGCAGACCCAGCCCATACCGCTCTTGAAATGGGGTATCTGAACACCACTGGGGGGCCTGGGGGGGAGGGGCAAGGGGCCAGGGAAGGGGGAAGAGGAGCAGAGAGCTGGGCCCTCGTTCCCCCAGCCTCCATCGGGATCCGTGCAGGCGCCGTACTGTCCAGGCACTTTGGCAGCCCCTCTGTCTACAAGAGTGACCTATACCGGCACAATCATGTTTTTCTTTTAGTTTCCTTGAACATTCAAGGTTTTTTCTTCTCCATCATGTTCATACATATGCATGTAATTAAACATTTGTGGAAATCACTTTAATAATAAACGGGAAATGAACCTAAATGTTGCTCCTTTCTCTCATTCATCGGAGGTCATGATCTGGGGCAGAAAGTCAACTAGAATCAAAAAAAAAAAAAACAAAACTTTTCAGACATTCCTTGGCTATCATTGAGGGCTGCAAGTAAAGGAGCTTCCGGAAGCTTCTGGAAGGCAAAGCAGTAGGTTTGAGATCCGCACGTGAAAGGCACCCGAAGTTCGGGGACAGAGGTGTTCCTAGATGAGCCGCAGGGAGGTGGACCATCAGAGCTCCAGGTCCACTGTTTCTCATGCCTGGCAGCGTGAGTGAGAGCTGCTCCTCTCTGCCGTGGCTTTGATCTCGGAGTCACGGTCACCGTGAGCCTTGGGAGATCTAGGACCCCTCGAAGCTGGACGCACAGTCAGCGCCGTGTATGCTCGCACACGTGAATGTGTTTCTCTGGGAACACGACCCCCGGCTTTCATCAGATTCTCAAAGAAACCTAGACCGCCAAAAAGGCTGGTAACCATTCCTCTCCTCAGAAATGCGGAGAAGCCTCCAGCATCAGGCCCTCGACAGGAGAAAAAAGCAATTTCATAAGTGATACTAATATTCCAAATAAGTGACAGGAAACGGCAAAGGTTACTCTGGCTCATTTTGTTTGGTTTTTGGTTTAACACAATGATTTAAAAGTCTAAGGAAATTTCTAGAATCTACACAGCTGGGTCTCGAAAATATATTTGTACACCTGTGTTCATAGCAGCATGACTCGCAATAGTCAACAGTTGGAAGCAACCCAAGCGTCCGTCAGCGGATGAGCCGATAAACGCACGGTCCCTCCACGGCACGGACAGGGCTCGACCACCAGCCACAAGCAGGATAAGCCTGGGGGACCTGGTGCTGAACTCGAGAAGCCAGTCACAAGCAGCAGATTCCACTTCCTGTGGGAAATACTGTGTGATTCGACTTACCCGAGGTCCCTAGGGTGTCGTTTTCGCATGTAGGTGAGGTTCAGTGGGGTCCGGTGGCAAGAGCCAAGAATTTTTTTTTTAGTCTTTTTATTTATTTTATTTTATTTTATTTATTTGACAGAGACACAGTGAGAGAGGGAACACAGCAGGGGGAGTGAGAGAGGGAGAAGCAGGCTTCCCATCGAGCAGGCAGCCCGATGTGGGACTCGATCCCAGGACCGGGATCATGACCTGAGCCCAAGGCAGATGCTTAACAACTGAGCCACCCAGGCATCCTAAATTTTTTTTTTAAGATTTTATTTATTTGAGAAGGAGAGAGAGAGAGAGAAAGAGAGGAGGAGGAGTAGGTGGAGGGTCAGAGGGAGAAGCAGACTCCCTGCTGACAAGGAGCCCAATTTAGGGCTCGATTCCAGGATCATGACCTGAACCAAAGGCAGACACTTAGTCGACTGAGCCACCTATGCGTCCAAAGAAATAAATTTTTTTTTTAAGATTTTATTTATTTATTTGACATGGAGAGAGAGAGATCACAAGTAGGCAGAGAGGAAAGCAGAAGCAGGCTCCCCGCCGAGCAGAGAGCCCGATGGGGGCGGGGGGGGGTGGGGCTCGATCCCGGGACCCTGAGATCATGACCTAAGCCGAAGGCAGAAGGCAGAGGCTTAACCCACTGAGCCACCCAGGCGCCCCAAGGAAAGAATTCTTGAGAGGCCCTTGGTGCAAACTAGTGGTTTGGTTTGGTTTGGTTTTTATTTAAACTTGATTTTATTTTTTCAGTGTTCCGAGATTCATTTTTTGTGCACCACACCCCGTGCTCCATGCAATCGTGCCCTCCTTAATACCCACCACCAGGCTCACCCAAACCCCCACCCCCCTCCCCTCCAGAACCCTCAGCTTGTTACTCAGAGTCCACAGTCTCTCATGGTTCCTCTCCCCTCCAATTTCCCCAACTCCCTTCTCTCCATCTCCCAACGTCCTCCGTGTTATTCCTTATGCTCCACAAGTAAGTGAAACCATATGATAATTGACTCTCTCTGCTTGACTTATTTCACTCAGCATCATCTCCTCCCATCCCGTCCATGTTGATACAAGATACAGATCTAACCAAAAAAGGGCCATCTGTACCCCAATGTTCATAGCAGCAATGGCCACAGTCACCAAACTGTGGAAGGAGCCAAGACGCCCTTCAACAGACAAATGGATAAAGAAGATGTGGTCGTATGTACAATGGAGTATTACGCCTCCATCAAACAAGTGGTTTTATTAAAGCCTCGGGACTCAGCAGGAAGAGCTGCTGACCCCCAGCACAGCGGGGATCAGAGAGGAGCAACAGATGATATACTTTGGGGTTGGGGGAAATAACGAGAAATTTCAAAAGGATTTTCATATGCTAAAGCAGACACAAGAGGGAGCACCGGGGTCGCTCTCTAGTTAACATCTGCCTTCCACTCAGGTCAGGATCCCGGGGTCCTGGGATTGGTCCCCATTAGGCTCCCTGCTCAGCGGGAGGCCTGCTTCTCCCTCTCTGACTCCCCCTGCTTGGGTTCCCTTTCTCACTCTCTCGCTCTCTCTCTCTCTCTCTCTCTGTCAAATAAATAAATAAAATATTTTTAAAAAATTTTTAAAAAATAAAAAAGTAGGGGGCGCCTGGGTGGCTCAGTGGGTTAAAGCCTCTGCTTTCGGCTCAGGTCATGATCTCAGGGTCCTGGGATTGAGCCCCGCATTGGGCTCTCTGCTCAGCGGGGAGCCCGCGTCCCCCTCTCTCTCTGCCTGCCTCTCTGCCTCCTTGTGATCTCTGTCAAATAACTAAATAAAATCTTTAAAAAAAGATTTTTTTTAAATAAAAGTAAAAATAAAAAAGAAGACACAAGATACCAGAGCCTTGCTCATTGTCAAACCAAGTTTGTTTTTCCCTCTAGCGAGGCATTAGCATTAAGACAGTAGGGAGTTTCCTGGAGGAAGGTTATAATCTGTCTCCTCAAGTATTTGTCAGTGAGCTACAGATTATAAAGACATTTAATTTTATCTCCATTTCCTTCTGCCTCTGTTTCCCACGTCTCCTAGAGGAGACAGAAAGCAGAGTGGTGGGCGTCAGGGGCTGGGGAGGGGGCAAGGGGAAGTTCAGTGGGGACAGTTTCAATCTAGGAAAGATGGAAAAGTTCTGGAGGTGGACAGATGGTGGTGATGGTTGTAAACAATATGAATGCGTTTGATGCCATCAAAATGCATGGTTTTTTAATGATTAAAATAAAAAGTGTTGTCTTCTGTGTATTTTGCCACAATGTTTAAAAAGTCTAAGAAGCAAACAATGACATCCGCCGAACACACAACACACCAGACAATTCAACTATATTTCCCCCCCCAAAGCTCCCAGGAGCACAGGCTCAGGGGCTCCCCGGGGGGCTCAGGCGGCGAAGCGTCTGCCTTCGGCTCAGGTCATGATCTCAAGTTTCCGGGATCGGGTCCCACATCGGGCTCCTTGCTCAGCGGGGAGCCTGCTTCTCCCTCTGCCTGCTGATCCCCCTGCTTCTCGAGCTCTCTCTGACAAATAAATTAATTAAATCCTTAAAAACAAAAAAAGTAGGCTTCTTTCAGGCTGGAAGATGAGCTGGGAGGACGCGCAGCCCCGCTCACAAAGAGGAGAGGACGTGGGGTGAGTGGACTTACTCCCCAGTCCGCCAAGCCCAAGAGGGATTCCAGGTTCCTCAAAGAGCGGAAGGCCCCCTGTTCCAGCTCCTTCTGGCCTGCTCCATGGGCTGTGGCGGCCCCAGAGGGGGATGGCCGATTCATATTAGAAAAGATGTGCAGCCCCGTTAATAGAAATAGAAATACGAAGGAAGCCAACATACGGACCCCACCGTGGCGCTAGGCTGGCAAAAGTGAAGCCTGACTCATGCGAGTCAGAGGGTGGCGCCGGTGAATTCTGCGGGTGTAAATGGAGAGGCTCTTACCCCCCAGCCTCGCGTTTACAGAAGTGAAACGTCTGTCAGTGGGCGATGGCGGCAGGGACACGCGATTGTCCGACAGCCGTGAGCGCCACTCAGCCAGGGCAAGGGCAGCTTGTCCCGGTGAGCGGCGGGCGATGTGGGGAGGCGTGGAATCACCATGTCCTACACCTGCAACTCTTGTAACTGCTAGCTTAGCTCCACTGCGATTTACATTAAATTATTATTTTTTTAAATGTGATATACAGGGGCGCCTGGGTGGCTCAGTGGGTTAGGCCGCTGCCTTCGGCTCGGGTCGTGATCTCAGGGTCCTGGGATCGAGTCCCACATCGGGCTCTCTGCTCAGCAGGAAGCCTGCTTCCCTCTCTCTCTCTCTCTGCCTGCCTCTCCGTCTACTTGTGATCTCTCTCTGTCAAATAAATAAATAAAATCTTTAAAAAAAAAATAAAATAAATGTGATATACAAAAACAAGACCGGGGTGTCCGTTCTAGTCACAGTAGGGGAGGCTCTTGCCAGGACGATGAGACAAGGAAGGAAGGAAAGCTGTCTCCATTCACAGACGGCCTGCCCTTGTGCACAGAAAACCCTAAGGAATCCACAAAAAACCTATTAGAGCTAATAAATGAGGCCAGCAAGCTCACCGGGACTAAGACCAACCTGCAAAAGTCAATTGCATTTTTGGAGCACCTGGTGGCTCGGTGGGTTAAGCGTCTGCCTTCAGTTCGGGTCATGATCTCAGGGTCCTGGGATCGAGCCCCGCATCGGGCTCCCTTCTCAGCGGGGAGTCTACCTCTGCCCCTCCCCTGCTTGTGCACGTGTTCTCTCTCTCTTTCTCTCTCTCTCAAATAAATAAAATCTTTA